AAAAGTAAATCAAATCCTTTCAATTTCCTTTAAATTTAAGAGATTGAAAATAAAACATTTAAAAGGAATCCATCCTCTCTCTTCATCTATTTCCTCCTCTGTTCCCCTTCCTTAATGATTTTATACAAATAAAAAAGAAAAAAGATCTCTCCTTCATCCTTCTCTCCTTCCCTCTCAACTCCCTCAAGTCAAACAAAAATTAAAAGTAATACATACTATATTTCTTTTTTATTAACACAGTTATCATTATTACAACTAATTAATGCAAAGATAAAAATGACAACAATTAATTACACTAGATATTTAGGATCCGTTTGATGCAGTTTTCTAAATACTTTAGCATTTTAATACTATTCATATTTGTATTAATTAGGGGACGTTGTGCCCTCTTTTAAAGGTATTGGGCATAAGTCGTTCTAAAAGTTCAATACTGTGACGTCCCCAATAGGTTTTAGGAACTAAAATTGCATTCCAAAAACCTTTTAGAGGGCCACTTTAGAGGACAACTCTAGGGACGCAAAAATTCATACCCAATACCTTTGGGGGACGAATTTTGATGCCTTATGGGGACGACTTCCGATGTCCCTAATCATCATTTTTTTTAGTGAAATAAGACGCCGGAATTTTCGATGCAAGTTCGAGTCCATCCCACAACAACCAAGAGGGAAAAATGAGAAGTACACTCACCATATTGAATAATTTGTTTCAGTCATAATAAAAGCACTTGACCATAGGCAAAATGATATGCAAGTAGGATCCTTTTAGAAATCAGAAAAAAAAAAAAAAAGTTTCTTATTGTACATCTCTACTAAAATTAACATGTGCTGTCCTCCGTTGTACTTAATACAGTTATCATCATTACAACTAATTAATGCAAAGATAAAAATAAGAGTAACTAACTAGATTAGGGGATATAGTAGGTTAGGAATGGCAGTTAGTAATTTAATTTAAGTTGTTAAGAATAAATATTTGGAAAATTTATTTATTTTAAAATGATTATAAATTAGATTTTTAATAAAATTTTTTATTTAATGATTTAAAACTAACATATAGTAGTTTGAGTTTAAATTACTATCAAATTGAAATAAAAAAATTACCTAAAATAGTTTTTTTTATCAAATTGGTAATGAATCTGAATTTTTTTTATTTTATTCACAAATTTATTTATTTTAATTTTTTAATTTTGGCCACTATTTTTAATT